CACCCTAGTGAAGTGCCTCACACCCCAGTAAGTGCTCACACCCAGTGAAGTGCCTGCCACCCCAGTAAAGTGCTCCTGCCACCTTGGGGTGGCAAAGTGCCTCGCCACCCCTAGTAAAGTGCTCCGCCACCTCCCAGGCAAGTGCCCTGCCACCCTAGCCAAGGCCTGCCACCTAGGCAAAGTGCCTCGCCACCCCAGCAAGTGAAGTGCCTCACCCCAGTAAAGTGCCTGCCCCCCTAGGTAAAGTGCCTGCCACTTTAGTAAGTGCTCACACCCCAGGTAAGTGCCCAGTAAAGGCCTGCCACCCCAGTAGCAGTCTGCCACCCTAGTAAAGGCTCAGCACCCCAGCATGGCCCTGCCACCCCAAAGTGCTCCTGCCACCAGCAAGTGCCCGCCACCCCAGTAAAGTGCCCGCCACCCTAGCAAAGTGCCTCTGCCCCAGTGCCTCGCCACCCTAGCAAGTGCCTCGCCACTTAGCAAAGTGCCTCGCCACCCCAGGCAGTGCCTGCCCCCTAGGCAAAGTGCCTCGCCACCCCACGGGCCTTGCCACCTAGCTATGCCCGCCACCCCAGTAAAGTGCCCTCGCCACTCCCAGTGAAGTGCTCCGCCACCCCAGTAAAGTGTCTGCCCCCCCTAGGTAAAGTGCCTCACACCCTAGCTATGGGCCTCACATCTTAAGTGCCCTGCCACCCTAGTAGCAGTCTCACACCCTAGTGAAGTGCCTGCCCCCAGGCAAGTGCCCGCCACCCCAGTAAAGTGCCTCACCCCAGTAAAGTGCCTGCCCCAGGTAAAGTGCCCCGCCACCCCAGGAAGTGCCTCACCCTAGTGAAGTGCTCGCCACCCCAGTGAAGTGCCCGCCACTCTAGTGAAGTGCCTCGCCACCCTAGTTAAGGGCCTCGCCACCCTAGTAAAGTGCCTCGCCACCCTAGTGAAGTGCCTCGCCACCCTAGCCTTAGTGCCACACCTCGCCACCACCCAGCATAGGTCTGCCCTCTTCCGGTATATATTTTAATGACATTTATGTGCGCCGTTTCTTACCTGATGATCTAATTTTACACCCACGTTAGCCTCGACCTCCAACACACCTCTCTTACACCCACGTTAGCCTCGACCTCCAACACACCTCTCTTACACCCACGTTAACCTCGACCTCCAACACACCTCTCTTACACCCACGTTAGCCTCGACCTCCAACACACCTCTCTTACACCCACGTTAACCTCGACCTCCACACACCTCTTACCCACGTTAGCCTGACCTCCAACACACCTCTCTAAAGCCCACGTTAACCCTCGACCTCCAACACACCTCTTACACCCACGTTAGCCTCAGACCTCCAACACACCTCTCTTACACCCACGTTACCCTCGACTCCAACTCTTCTTATACCCATTAACCCGACCTCAAACACACCTCTTACACCCACGTTAACCTCGACCTCCAACACACCTCTCTTACACCCACGTTAACCCTCGACCTCCAACACACCTCTCTTACACCCACGTTAGTCTCGACCTCCAACACACCTCTCTTACACCCACGTTAACCTCGACCTCCAACACACCTCTCTTACACCCACGTTAACCTCGACCTCCAAACACACCTCTCTTACACCCACGTCAGCCTCGACCTCAACACACCCTCTCTTACACCCACGTTAGCCTCGACCTCCAACACACCTCTCTTACACCCACGTTAGCCTCGACCTTCCAACACACCTCTCTTACACCCACGTTAGCCTCGACCTCAACACACCTCTCTTACACCCACGTTAACTCGACCTCCAACTTAACTTACACCCACGTTAGCCTCGACCTCCAACACACCTCTCTTACACCCACGTTAACCTCGACCTCCAACACATCTCTCTTACACCCACGTCAGCCTCGACCTCCAACACACCTCTCTTACACCCACGTTAGCCTCGACCTCCAACACACCTCTCTTACACCCACGTTAGCCTCGACCTCCAACACACCTCTCTTACACCCACGTTAACCTCGACCTCCAACACACCTCTCTTACACCCACCGTTAACCTCGACCTCCAACACACCTCTCTTACACCTAAGTTTTTGCCGCCTCGGTCTTTCTAATTAACGCAGGTAATGACAAATTCTTCGTCACCTTTAAGGCTTATGCGCCAGGTATTCAGTTTAAAGCCACTACAGGTAGGTTTATTTTCATGGCGTCATTTATTTAACTCTATGAGACCTGGTATGATAATAAACATATGATTGGCACGAGATGAGAGCTTTTGAGCCGTGTGTGTGTGTGTGTGTGTGTGTGTGTACCTCTTCGTCTGCCTGCTGCCTGTCCTCCTCATCCTTCCTTGACTAACACACACACACACACAAACACACACAAGCACACGCCGCAACACCCCAACACAACCTCCTAAACATAACTCCGCCACAACAACAACAACAACAACCTTCTTCCCTCTCATCAGCTGGGAAGTTATGACGTGGATACATGTTTTCAACCTTGGTTATTTTTATTCGAGGCGCCATAACGGAAGCTCACCACCTACCACGACCCTCCCTAACTCCTACTACGACCCTCCCTAACTCCTACCACGACCCTCCCTAACTCCTACCCCGACCCTCCCCACCACATACCACGACCTCCCACTACATACCACGCCCTCCCTAACTCCTACTGACCCTCCCCACCACATGCCACGACCCTCCCTAACCCTACCACAACCCTCCCTAACTCCTACCACGACCCTCCTAATTCCTACCACGACCTCCCCTTAACTCCTACGACCCTCCCCTCCTACCATGACTCCCTAACCTACCACGACCCTCCCTACGACTCCTACCACGACCCTCCCTAACTCCTACCACGACTCTCCCTAACCCTTTAAGTACGAGTTTCTCCTAGCCGTCAGTCACAGCCAGTACGACTCTCCCAGGCCCCAGTACGACCCTCATAGCTCTAATTCAGTACGACCATCCTCTCAGTGCCAGGGCCGACATCACCTGTCACCCGGTACTGCTGCCCCACCTGGTCACGAGACTGCCAACACCCCAGTACAGGTATCCAAGTACTCCCTGTACACCCACTTCAACACTAGAACACACACACACACACACACACACACACACACACACACACACACACTTAAATCCCATAAGCCGTCACTCAAAGAACCTCGTTCCTACAGGGAGTGTCTGCTGGATCCGCCACTTCGGGAGCGACTTCTGCGCCAGCCTCAGCTCAGCGTCAGGAAGCAGCTCTTCTCCATGACGGGCTACAACCTCTCCATACACCCAGACATGTCCGTCAAGGGCACCAGGGAGTTCTACAATATCTACGGTCAGTTTAACCTCTCCCCTGTGAAGTCATGGTTATCTTAGCGTTCATTGTATTTACCTAATTATCAAATATTTTTTTTCTCCAATGTTCAGACTTAGTTGATTTCTTCTTCTTCTTCAATTCTTTGCTTTGTTCTTCGTCTTTGTCTTCTATATTTCGTTTTCTTTTTCATTTTCTTCATTGCCTTATTATTTTTCTGCCTCAGCTTTTTTCTCTATCTCACTCTTCTTCTTCTTCTTTGCCTTTACCTCCCTTCTACACTGTCTTCTTATTCTTTCTCCACCTTCTTCATTTTGTATCACCATTGTATTTTCTTCTGTATTTCTCACTACAAGGATAATAACGGTGTGTGTGTGTCTTGCCGGCAGCCATCCTGGAGGTCCGCGCCGTGGGGAAAGGGGAGGTGCAGGTGAGAGGGGTCGATGCTGGGCTCTTCCTCGCCATGAACCACAAGGGCAAAACCTACGGAGAGGTAAACAGCGGGTGGACGGGGATGTCGGCAGATAGATAGGTAGACAGGAAGGCAGTCAGGCATACAAATGGACAGGGAGGTAAACAGGTAGACATAGACAGGAAGGACAGACAGACAGAGGCAAGAATTCCTATGGTATAAAAGCTAATGACGATAAGCACACTGAATCCCAAATTAAAAACTCGTCCATAAACAAATAGAACATTTATATATTTTTCTATTACTTCTCCCTGTTGTTACCTATTGCTTAATTCACCAGTTAATAAAACACTAAGCTCTGGTCTACTCCCCAGCCCAACGAGCTCAAGGAGAATACAGTGTGGGTGGAGACGCTGTCAGGTGCCTTCTTCAACTACCTGAACAAGAAGTATGCCCACTTGGGGTGGTACCTGGGCATCAAGAAGAGTGGCAAGGGCAAGAAGGGCCACAAGACCGAGTATGGCCAACGAGCTGTCCAGTTTCTCCCCAGACATCCCTACCCGATCGGCTAGACTGGTACAAGATCCGTCATTGTGTCAACATGGATGTCAATCTTTATCACAATACCCGTAAAGGGCATTTATATACAATCTTTTAAAACTTGCTTCATTTCTCTTCCAGTTAAAGGAGGGTGAGGTTGGATCAGCTGTCCTACGTCAACATTAACTTCGATTCTCTGTGGAAACTTGAGAGATGTTGTAAAAGGAATACTGTATGTAAATTGTTCACATCCTGAATCAACTCTTGTTTTTATGAGCCACAATAACGTGGGTGGAGTACAGGTTAATGAGGTACACCTGCTACAGGTAGATGTGGGGCTGTGAGTACTTTCACTGCAACGGTTTAAAGATGATGGAAGCATTACGAGTCTGATAACCAAAACGTCAGTAAGGGAGGATGGTGGTTGTGTGTACTTGATGGATCAGTGTTACTTGGAGATGCGTTGCAGCAAACAGTTAACTATAATGCGTAGTGTATAGCTACATGAAGGTACTCTTGTCCAGGGGCACACCCGTAATTTAATGGTTTGTGGGGTGAAGATCTGCCCACCTCTTTTTTATTTCCTGTATCTAGTCTTCAAGCTTATGAATAAACAAAGAAGGTACTGTACATGGACAAGAAGAAGAGGAGAGAGGGACACGTGCCCGCTGTCTCCTCCTCCTGGGTGAATCAGTTTGTCTACTAGTATGTGCTTCACCAGATCTATGGTGGCTAACAAAAGGCCTGGAAGCTGAGTTTGTGCCCCTCACAAGACTTTGCTACCATGACACTCTTACACCTGTTTCGTTGGTGTTAACAATTATAAGTTTGTTTACTCCATCAGCCGCAGTATCAAAACTTACCTTCGTCACTTAAATAGCCTCAACCATGCCTCTCTTTACCACACTGTTGTTAACAAGATCACATCATTGACGCGTGTTCAAGAACGATTAAGAAGTTTATCAAAGGAAGTAAGTTTTTAATACTCTGGCTGAATGGGATGGTGTGTACAGTACAGGCGTCGTAAGTGCTGCCCAGGAGGTAAAGTTTGACCATTTGTAGATATATCGCCTTCTGTCTCGTGTACAACTCAGTGACATTCACTTGTCATTTGGCTATCAATTCTATTTTTTAGTTTACAAAGATAAATATTTTAGTAATATAAAGTATATAGTATTCTAGTATTTAACCAAGTGACGTTTACTTTCGTTGACTAATGCTTTACCTCGATTCTCTCCACATACTGAAAGGTGTATTAAACTATATACCGTACAGTATATTTCAACGCATAACAGTAATGAGTCACACCTGTTGTTAACACCGCCTGTCATTATCCCTTTAAAGATGTTAAGATAATCGTGGCCGAGGTGGTGAAATGGCATAAAAAAAATATAAGAAAAAGGTCAAAATTACCTGTTTCAGAAGTAACTATTGACAATGACTAAGAACATGTCTATCACAACCAACATTTCTGATACACCACCGCCTTTAAGTTTTCTCTTCGCCTCCGTGCGGACAGTCTGCCGTGGTCCGTACTGGCGAATGGACCTCACTCTCTCGCCCTCCTAGTCACTTTATACAGTTTACTTTGCCGTTATGGCTTACTTTCTACACTGCATTTATAGAGTTACAGTGAATCTTAGCATATTTTTAAGGGGGCGCTACTTAGGTTCAAAATTAAACACGATGTATTTTTTTTAACCTGTGTGTGTGTGTGTGTAAGGTACTTAAAGTGAGCTGACGGAGATAACTGATACTTAAACCCCTTGAGTATAATGACATTGTATTAAAAGGGATAGGTCATTGTATTCACGGTGTTAATTCATCATATTCAACACACACATACACACCGTTCCAATAACATACTAGTGACCATTTTGAACCTCTTTAAAGTAACCCTTCAACACATTGTAAATAATTTTCTTAATAACTCTCCTAAATCGCTTCTTTTGGCAGCTGTTTGTGTTTACGTTTTTCCGAGCGATTTTATATTTAACAAAAAGAAAGCAGACTCAACTTGGCACACATTAGGAAACAAAAACAAGTTGACTTCAGTGTTCTTGCTCGTCCAGTCTCTTTTGACTTACTACGTGGAACTGAACTAGCTGTATCATATATTAATTGTATATTTGGGAACATAAATCACATGAGACGCTCTTGGCTAGACGTAGACAGGCGACAACAGCAACAAAAAAACGCAGTTAATGTTGAAGTAATTTTATACCGCATATCTCAAGTTACCTTTGTCGCTAGTCTTGTTCTCACTCGGAAGACTTCATTATATTTAAGGATTTTTTCTCCAGTGGCACCAACCCGAGGAGCCTGTGTGTAAGGTTATCAAGCTCCCCGCGAAGCTGTTATTCTATGTTGAGAAAAAGGTGTAAGGATACGTGTCTCCCATGAATCCACTTTAATGGCTGCCTTTAATTGGAAATAGGTCCCTTATACACAGGTGTGGAGGTGCGTCATCATAACACGGTTCTGTAGTTATTACTGGTGAAGATGAACGACAGGTAACGAATACAACCTGGGAAGTCAAAACATTACACCGGGCAACAAGGAAACATACAGCACACATTTCGTTAATAAGCCACACACTCGGGTGCCTTATATAAGAAGGGTCAGGATGAACGCTAAACTCACTGCGGATGTAACAAACCAATTCAAAAGTAATTACCTTTAAAAATCGTTCAATGTAAAAAATAAAATAAAATAAAATTGTTGAAAGGTGACCTGCACTTTACACTAGAGATGAATCCAATAGCTACCAAGTTTTGGGAAATAGTTCAAAACATGAAGAAAGGTCAGTGTACACTCAGTGAGCAGTACTGCCCTAATGATTGTAGCCGAGAAACCAATCATCACTCTCTGATGATACTAATGTAAACTACGAATTTGAATACCATATTTTATTCTTATCTATTCACCAGGTAATAATCACTCTTTCTCTAAACTGTAAAATAACGTTAGGTCAGTTTGTGCTGTAATATACTGCACAATATCTCATCTCCCAGCACGTAATGAATTTGTGTTATTATCTGTTGTTATCTCCACCTTTTCTTATCAAGTCACAACGGAGATTCATTTAGCCTTCCACACGAACAAAGATCACAACTAATGCCTCAATACAGATCGCCGCGGTGTGTCGTGGTCAATAAGTGAGCTGCAGTAGGAGCTTTACCTCTCTCAGGAACCTAGTGACTTCGCTGGTAGGTCGCCTTAGCTGGTGTTGTAGCGCCTCGCCCTTACTTCCACCTTTTTATTTTGTACTTTTTATAATTATTTTTGTTGATATGAGTATAATAAAATAGTTGATAGCAGGTAAATGAGTTGCCTTTATTCCTCCTATAAAAACAAACTTATATGAAGCTGAGTACTGTACATGGTATCTTTTACTGATAAAGGGTCACTTATCGAGTTACAAAATCAAATATATTACCAGAATATATCTAAGGCAAGTCTCTAACATTACTGGGCTATCCTTCCTTAAATCGATCTACTTTTTGCCATGAGGATTTCAATGGTATATTAACTATTAATGTTATTGATACTTGTACTGTACTCTAACATAATCTCAAGACTACTGTAAGTGATAGAATGTGTAAAAATCAGAGTACTCGTATTATAGTGGCCAAAGCGATCTTGTTTAGTTAGCCATCTACTGATTTACGCTATATTTCCGTTTTCTCTCGTTTCTGGCATCCCACACATTTTCTTATGATTTATTTACTGTACTAATACTAATCTCGCTTTCATGAGCTTAGGATGTATGAGTACTTTATCAAAACGATCGAAATTCAATGAAAATGTTGGTAAATATTCAGTAGAGGACAACCACGGAGCTCTATACTGATTTGTATCTATAGTCGAGGGAAGACTCGCATATTTGCCGTAACTGTGGAAAAAAAACTTGAAAATTGGTACAAAAGTAAAAAGTTCGCTCCCTCCCAAACTGAAACAGTATTGATCGAACCCAAATGAAATAAAACAATATACCCGCACCATATGGCAGTCAGGGTAAGTAACTAAAGACTTATTACCCTGACTCAGTTCCATCACAGTGAGTGACTTTTTGTCCACGACTGTATCTTGTGTTAATTGAAAGTTTTTGGGCCTAAAGGGCAAATATTTGAAGGTCAAGGTTAATCAGGGTATGAGAGTCAGATGTTAAAACTAGCCCTAGAACGACAAAGGCACGTGTAACTCACCAGATCACTTGGTCAAATACTTGGGGTCATAAGGTGGCTATTGAGTCTGCTTAGAAGGATATTAGGCGTAAATTATTATGTGTGACCTATCATATATATAATCATCATGATGATACAAAGGAGATTATGGTATTGTTGATGACTTAAACTGACCAATGACCTTAACTAATGAATAACCTCACGGCAAATATTTGATATGGCGTTACAAATTTCAACACACACACACACACACACACAACTACGCATGGACCCACGTCAGGTTAGTGTGGCAG